ATACATTCCAAGACAGGTGTTTGAGTGCCCTACACTATCCTGACTAAATTTTATGAGCGCATGAGATATTTGTCCAAAATTTCTGCCACTTACATTGTGCACTCCACTTACCACTTTCATACAGCATCACCAAACTTAGACTGAAATCAGACAATAACAACACTATTATTATATTATATAAAGTAAAGTAACTACCTTGGAAGTTAAGAGCTATATTGGCATTGCTTTCACCATAATTGTTGAAAGCGTTACATCGATATTTCCACATCTTCTCTAGTCGGATTAGATATTTCAAGAGTTAATATATACGTATCCTTGCCGGTTGCTTTTCTGGACATCTTAATTCGTGGGTACCAGCAATGACTTTTTGTTCCTTGATACCATGTTATATCGGGTACCGGATGTGCTTCTAAGTGACATTCCATTATTAAAATGTCACCCTCTTGTCTAATCGTTGGCTTTTAGGAAACCTGGGAGGCTTTCCATCGGGAATTCTATTTGTGATCAAAAGTAAATCAATACCAAAGTCATAACAAGTTTAATTCGATTAAAAATCGAGCTGTGCTCGTACTTAGTTTACCGCCACCCTCAAAATTCAAGTTAATCGTCGCAATGCCTTCGCCGTGTTTATTTCTCGCAACAGCTCTGTATTCGCCTTTGTCGGAGTCTTTAACCGAACTTATTTCTAAGCGTGCCATGTGGTATAATTTTTGGTCTTGCTCAAGGGATATTTTGTACCTGCCGCCATCCTTGACTTCTTCCTTGCCGTGGTACCTGTGTAATTCAAACAATTGACACAAAATATGTTCATGATATCATATGTGATGCCTGATGCCTGATGTCTTACCAAACGACCGTCGGTTCGGGTCGCCGGCGCAGCGGCATTCGAAGGTGATCTTGCCCCCGTCGTCGGCCTGCCTGATGACCGGTCGTTCGGTGAACGTCGGCTTGATACCGTCGTCGGGCACAGGCGCTTCGTCGCCTACATCAATCAAATCCACCTGAACGCTACGCTACTGTTCACGCTACGCGCACACCACTCGGCGTGCGCGTTATTACATAACATTCACACGAATTTTATAAACAATCCCCAAATGCAATTTCATTTTTTAAACAACACACAACAAAATCACATTCGATAATAATAATTATAAGAAACCTATTAAAGTTTCATTTCAGTGATATCGATCTGCAATATCACCCAGGTCCACCAAGCTACCCATAACAATTTGTAAAACTAATATGAATGTATGTAAATCGTATTTAAATAATGTAATAAATGAAACAAATGTAAATGTTTTTGTAAACATTTACGCCTACTCTGAACCTATTCTAAAATAACATCTAAAAATATTGACAAGTGAAAAATAAAACTACTAAAACTACAAATAAAAATCAAATTGTGCATGTTAGCAAAGCTTGTATTGTGGAATCGTCATTTAATTAAGCTCCGAATTGATTATGGGTATTAAATTATTTTTCCGCATAAACTTTTCAACGAGTTATATACAAAAATGATTTAAGTGCATCGATAAATGCGGTATTAAAAGAAAGATGAAGTGGAAACTTTTTAAGTTTTATGGAAAAAAGCCAATAATCTTGTGAATGCAACGAAAACCATCCGTTCTCCACAAATTTACTCAATAAAACAATTAAGTACAAAACCTTACTCTATGATTATATATTATTAACACATAAATGACTTGGTATCAACATCTTATACGAATTCGTACAGAAACCAATAAATCACAAAAAAACATGACGACTGCACAGCTGTTTAGAAATTAAATAATTGAGCTAAATTTAAACTCCGTACATATAAATTAGAACGTGTGCACGTAGGGCATCGGAACCGAGCGTGATGCATTTAATAATAGAATTTATATATATATATATATATATATATATATATATATATATATATATAAGTGTATGGCTACTTGTACTTGTACCTTCATAAGATGTTGATACGAGTCATATTATACTTTCAATATTAGTTAACAAATAATGGCAAAATTAACAAATGCAAAATAACACGATAATGCATCCAAATTTTATATTACATTGATTCCTATAATATATACAGAAAAATGTTATCACGACAAGAAACTGCAAAATGTGCACGTAAAGCTTTTCGATTCTTCAGATGAATATGACTCCTTGCCATAACATTAAAACTATTTTTTATAAAACAAAGACTTCGATAGATTAGAAAATAATTTATTTCGCACTGAGGTTTCCAAAAACCTAGTTAGAATCCTGTCAAATCATTTTGAAAGAAGATTTTGTTTTATTATTGTTACATCATTTTGAAAATACATTGCGATTTCTTTTTTGGATTTAATAACTTAATATTTTAATATTGCAAATAAATATAAATATTATGAAATTATTATTTATTCAAAAGACGACGCGGTTTTTGACTACGAAATAATAAAACTTCGTGAGAAATTTAAAAAAAAAAGAATGATAAAGAATAATGTTAGGTATAAGGAGTATTTGCTTTAAGGCAAGTCGTAAAAACTTCCAATTAAATATATAAAGCAACTTAAAATTGTTTCTTTTTGAAATTTTGACGCTGCTCTATATTCTAAATGATGAATTTTTATGGCATTATTTTCCAATTTTGGTATCAAACGATTCAAAATATCTTGAAACATCAAAAAAACAAAACTTGCAAATCGAAAAACAAAAGTTTTCGCAAAGATTTTTTTTTTCGGAAAGTTAATAATAAAAAATTCAAATCGGGTCAATATCATCTGAGAATCTTTATTATTTATTATTGTTTGCCATCAAAATGCATAACAAATATTGAAAGTATTCGACAAACAGTAAAAACTAATCGTGAAGTATGATATAAATACATTTAAGGTAAATGATTGAGTTGGATTGACTCAATATTTAAAAAATAACGTGTGTGAAAGTATAATTATTAAATAAAGTGTCTGTTTTAAAAGTGAATAGTATGTCTATTATTAGCATATTTTTAATACTATTCTAGTATTATTGTATGATATGGATGAATATTAGAATCTCGAGTGAATATATTTCAATCTCGAGTTAATACAAAAACACATCGCTAATGACTTAACTTCAACTCAACGTTAAAACACTGCAAACATTTTACAAAACGTGGAATGATTTGCATCGAAAAAATGTGAAATATAACAAAATGATAATTAGAAGCCACATATAATGTTGGGTATGGATGAAAAGTGACTCTATCAAATAGATAATAAATAAAATAAAAAAACTTACTGTCGAAGTTCAAGCTGATAGTCGCATTGCTTTCTCCAAGTTCATTCTTTGCAGTCACACGATATTTGCCAGCATCCTCAACAGTGACATTTTTAATCTCGAGTGAAGCAAAGTATGAATGACCATCTTTGTCAACCATCAACTGGAAAACGAAATTAAATATTAGTTAACAACACAAACAACAAAACTTATAAACAATTACAAACGTGGTATTAACTTAAAACAAGTGCAAACTAATAATGCAGACTTGTGGATTGTAGATTTAAACTATTCGCGACATACATTTATTCAAATTTGTACAGACTGATTGTGTAGAAACTTTGTAATATGTCTTTTATTTCTAGAAGTACTTTTCATTAAAGTTCTTAAGATTTCTTCACAAACTCAGATACTTTCTCATTTTCATTTAAACGTTTTTTGTGTCATATTTATATATCCCAAAACTAACATATTATTAAATGTGTGAAGGCAACCATCTAAAATTATGTTTACAAATATTAAACAAAAATATAATTCTATTATTATAGCTTATTGAATCTGATTTGGTTATTATGGGTTGTCTTTGAGGTAAGTTTATTATCTAAACCCATCATTCCATACAGAATTCTATAAGCTTTAGAAATACTGAAACTTGATCGCTCCTATTTTATATTAATAGCGATCATTTCAGTACAAATTAAAAACAATAAATTATTGTATCTCAATATAAAATCGTCAACGCCCAAAATCGCATGAACATCTTTAATTCTAATATCTCCTACATAAAAATTCTTGTGATTGTATTTTACTACCCCTGCCATATATTTTTGTCCCAAATCAAAAATACTTAATCAAATTTACAAACTAATCATCAATTTTGTACCATTTAATCATCATGGATTGGTACAAAATTGATGATTGGTTGGTAAATTTACCTAAGGATGACCACCCATATGTAAAACAGTGAACAAATAAAAGTATTTGTTTCAAAATTTATGGATGGATTAACAGTTGCAACGATTAATTAGTTAGTAACATGTAAACATTTTTTGTTTTGTGATCTAGTTTTATATACATTTGAAGTTTACGCGTTTTTAACAACTAGAATATTGTAGTTTGATTGCTCGAAAAAGATTTAATATGAAAAATTTAAAATGTTTGAGTACGTGGGGCAAGGGGTTAAGACCCTCGATCTTGCAACCACAAGATTGTAAGTTCAAATTCTGTGCTATGTACATCCTGATATCACGCAATAGTGATATCAGCTTTTATATGAGAACATAGATCAGAAAAATATATTTGCAAGTGAAAATAAGCCCCCGAGCACCGCTGCGCAAAAAAATGTATATTAATTGATTCATTGATTTTTTATTGAATATGACAAAGTCAATATGACAAATTTTCAATAGAAAATATTCCGAACGCATATAATAGAGTATATAAAATGCAAGACCAATAAATTAAAAAACAAATAAAAATAATACTTCGTACACACCTTGTGTCTTGGTGAGTCCTTAACAGGGTTGGTATTGTGAAACCAAGCGACTGTAGGTTTAGGATCAGCTTGAATTCGGCATTCAAAGAGCAAACGTTTGCCATCATCCTCTTGCCGGATAGCCGGTTTTTTAGAAAACGTAGGAGCTATGCCGTCGATTTGTCTAGACAATAAATTTATGGATAACACAATCATTTATAGAACTATTTATTCATGCTCAAGTATCTAGATTAGTGTTAGAAAATTCATATTAGTACTCACGTTGTTAAATCCTAGTTGGTGTTATGGAGATGCAAACATCTATGTTAGTTTATTAGGGGTTGACTATTTAAAAACAAACGCGAGTAAATTATACTCACTTCATCCTTTGTTGATCAGCCGCTAAAGGACAAGATCAAAAAAGCGTAATTAGTATACACATCTAATATAGACAAGAAAAAACATACATTTGTGTAAACAATAATACTACATACAATCAAACTAGAATCAAGCAGATGGCACATTGTTTAATATACACAGGTCGGTATATTTTTGTTATAAGGGTGGATTTGTTATAATGTTATTGTTGTAGACTGCACGATACGACATTTATGTAAAAGTTGTAAAGCGTATCACATTGACAAAGTGTTTAGACTAGTTTTGAGTTAAGTAAAAGTATTCAAAGTTGATGGTGTCCAGTGTAAGCCATCTGCTCACCTTTCCTTAGGGTCATCAGCCGCTGAAACGATACACGACTGTGTCATAATATGAAAGATACTTCATTTTATAAAAAATGAGCGACATTGATCTTAATTAGATATTTGTATATGTGATATATAAATTCTTAACGATATGTTTTAGTTTTGTATAATTACTAGGACACTTACGACTGAAATTCAGATTGATGGAGGCTGCGACTTCGCCCATTGTGTTTTTGGCCTTGACCTTATAAAGGCCGGCATCGGCTTCGACGACATCGTCCAAGTCTAGTACGACAAAGTACTTGTCGCTTCCGATCGACTGTATTTTGAATTTCGTTCGGCTGTCCTCTTTCAGTAGGGTCTCGCCACGGTACCATTGAATTTCGGGTTTGGGCTTAGACAGCAACTGACACTCGAAGACGAGGCGGTTGCCATCGTCTTCTTGTCTCAGTTGCGGTTTCTGCGTGAAGCTGGGAGCAAAGTCATCTGCCACTCCCATGCTTCTGTCGAGTGTCTAGCTCGTCACACGAGACATCCACTTCACCCTGCAAACGCGCGACAAACGGTTTGTCAGTTGTCAGTTCTGATATTATACGCTCTCAAGCAAGTAGCAAGTAGCAAGTAACAAATAGCAAGTCGTTTGCTCGCAAATCGAAATTGAAACCGATTTCTTGGCAAACACCCCAGATTTCACACATTTATATAACTCAACACGGCAGATTAAAAACTTAATCTCGAATGAAGTTACTCAAATAGAATAATGCGTCACAGAAACCAAATTCCTGTGCTCCGTAAGTAAATATTTAATACCGCGGAAAAGTAGTACGATTCATTCATTATTTATTCTATCTAACATTCATCATCATCTCATTTTTAAGCTAATACTATTCTTTACCCAAGAGTGAAATTATTACTGCATTTATGCAACACAATGCTCGATGCGAATCCTTAGAAATAGATTCGCGCCGCTTGTAGTTGTGGCATATAAAGTGGGAAACTAATAATAACGCGGTAGTAAATGAGAACTGCAGAGCAAATATTCGGCCTAGTTAAGCGGTTCCACCTGTGTCGCCAGCTTGGAACACGTTACCCTATTTCGCGACGCGTCGCGTTGACCATGCTCTACATGCTAGCACCTACACGTCGCATATTATTAGAACTTGAAAAGATGGTGACCGAATGATTTATTTGCCCGAAACAATCAAAGTGACCAGACCGATTATTCTAGAAGACGGCGCTATAAAGCACTCAATTAGAAATATGTTTTTTTTTTGTATGAAATTCTTGTGATTTTGCGCCAGGAAACAAACATACAGATAAAATTCTATGAATGGGACAACTTTCGATTGTTTTACTTCATATTTTCTAATTATCCAACAAAAATAGTAACTTTATATATGCAATTGTTCGCTATTGAATAGGTAATCGGTTCTCAGATCCGTATAAAGCATTATCTCAAGAGAGTCAAAAACAGAAAATGATTGAAAACTAAAGGCAGATATGAAACTAGATTACATAACAGCTATGTTATTTATTTTAATACCAGACCAAACGTAACCGTCACTAATACACTTGATATTTTTAAATAACTTTAATGTTACTGTTTTAAATTTATATTTGTTTATCCAAAAGTAAATAGGTTTCAAAACGATTTGCGACAAAGCTTATTTATATAACATTTGAAATTAAAAAAATTCAATTTTATTTAAAAATGCAATTATTATACAATTTAGTTCATGCTATCCTTGTGCATAACTAAATCATATTTGTGGATATATTTTCAACTTTTTAGTCACATATAATTGTCTTGCTTGAACTAAGTTACACATTTATTTATTATCACTGCAATCTAATAATGTTTTGTCCAATATAACTTAAACCAAATGAAAAGTTTAATTTATAGTTACATACTATACTGATATTTTAAAATAATCGTAATATTTTATAAACACACAAACAAATTTCTTAAGCACAAATGGGCGATCTTCAAGCACAGTAGGTCACCAATGATCTATAGGTTTCACTTACGATATGGCGTCGGTGACTGCACAAGCAGCTTTAATCCGCAAGTACGTGACAGCAACTCACTGCACACCAAACACAAAACGTAACAAACTTACTGCAAACAATATTGGCAAAAAAATATAATATATAATAGCACGATCACTGCACACTGAACGTATCCCTGCAGCACGGGACTAAGAGGTAAATATAAATTATGATCTGTCGTATGTTTACTCTGTTCTCGTATCGCACCACTCGATTTCGTTTTTTCGCGATCCTAACCCGAATCCTTCGCAGCCGACCGAAGCACTGATTGACCGAAACCGTTTCTAAACTCCGATAGAACGGACTCCCACCCACCTCATCGAGATGCTTGCCCCTCGCCTCTTAATGTCAGGATACGAGAGGATTACGACTCACTCAGGTCGAATCCGCCCACTGATCGCAGCAGTCGTGCGACCTTCGCGCTCGTATCTATCGGTTTCTCTTCGGCTGCTCCAAAGCGAAGACGAGCGGCTGCATTCGACTCGCGAGCTCCAAAGCGCGAGCTACGGTCGACGGACGCTCGTTCACGAACAAAAGTGGCCCTATAGCTTTAGATTCTAATTGCAAAGCAGTGAAAATGGGTTTCAGATCATTGAAGCCTGTAATGCGGCCACATAGAAGACAATCAACCGAAATCGCGGTTACAGAAATAAACGACGACGCCTTTGTATTTTTAGACGCGTGTTCGTTCAGAGCCGAACGTCCGATCGGACGCGGGCGAACGCTGCACATCATAGAACGGTAGCCAGTAGCGGGGTAATTCTAGACGCCGCTCGCCGGCCCATATAAGAACTGAGCCGCCGAGCCGGGGTCGAACGGCGCGCATGCGACAAACGACCAACGACCAACGACCAACGACCGACGACCGACGGACGAACGATGTACCATGTCGCTGGGGAAGGACTTACATCTTCAAATGATAGAGGAATTGTGCACTTAAACGTCAATATAATAGGGCTCCTAATATAACAAACTTATTTTCCATGGCTTATTTTTGATCAATTCATATGTAAAATTACAATTCATATGACATAGTTGACCAGTTCGATATCATACACAATTCTATTATAATTATCTACTAAAAAGTTTCTAGTATGTAAGCTTTCATATACAAAATTAATATCATTATAATGCACAATAATAGATAATGATTATAATGCTCAACTTTTATTTACAAGCGGTGCTGATATTGCATTTACTTCAATATGTTTTTTCAATCCATTAGGTCATCCAAGAAAACAACGAGTCAAACATAACGCTCTTCGTAATTCGTGATAGATACCTACACAAATCAAAAATAGAATGAAATTCCAAACCCATGTGATGTCTAAATCAACGCTTTTTGTGAATCATTCGTGGTGAAATCAATTTACTAATATACTTGCATTCGGAATATATATTACTCACTACACAATTGCTATCATGTTTAATATGTAATAATAATTCGGATGATTATATACGACATATAATTTTAATGTTTCTGAATGTACACAATGATATATAAATTCTAGCATATGAGCCGTGCAAAGTAGTACTGTAGTGTCATCCATTCTGAATATTCAGTATCCTTGTCCTATATTAGAAAATAGATCAAGGTTCCACAGGATTCAACTCACCTGCATTAATTTACGAATTAATTTACTTTCATTGCCGGCATGCTTCTGTTTATAAAACATAATATACAAACGGATGTATATATATATATATATATATATATATATATATGTGTGTGTGTGTGTGTGTATACAAAAATGTTTTTTATTGAGACATCCATTCAGTTATTAAGAGTAAAAATTAACTTCCGTTAAAAAAATTTTAAGTCTTCTTCAGTGAACGAATGAAAAAAGTAATATAAAAAATATCTAAAATTATAAAATAATCAAGTGTATTTAATGAAGAACAAATTATTAAAAAATATGTAAATTTAAAGAGAATAAATTATAACATATAAAAAATATAGAGAAAACTTACCACACAAATTATTCATTTATTAATTTTTCCTTCCTGTATCAGGTATGTTCTGTTGATCATTATTTTATTATATTTATATTGTGTTTTGTAAGTTTATCCAAAGTTTATATTTTTTTAAAAAATAACTTAGTATTTCATTTTATTAACTGGATGAATGCTTGTATGAAAAGTTTTTTGTTCACTACTGTATATCTTTTACCACCTGAAAATATTATAAAAATTATTATTATAAATTTAGAAAAAAAATGTTTCAAAGCTACTTCTGAATGAAGCTTCCGAAGTGAATATCACATGATCGAATTAATGAATTGTAGATTAAAAACACTTCTCTATATAATATATGAGAACATATTTAAGTACATGCATTATCATTAAATAAAACATTTACTAAATAAGTTCTATATATTTAAAAATGTTAAATACATTTTTATTAGAACAAAAACATAATAAAATTAATTATCGACTTAATATACATATAATAACTTTCACATATAATAAATTAGTCAAGTATTTATATATATTAGGATAGGTCAAATTTTTTGGCCGTTACAATTTTGTTTCTATGGGTCATTTCAAAAAACTTTGCCAAAGAAAGCATTCCTCATAAGCCTATAATATTTTAAGAGAATGATTTACCCTTTATCTTAACTTCACTCATATAAACAAAATTGAGATGGACTTTTTGCTCGACATATTACGGTTTGACCTGCCCTATATATATATATATATATATATATATATATATATATATATATATATATATAAAAGTACCTAATGAATATATAACTTAGTCAAATCCTATAATCTGAAGGCAATTTCAATTCAATCACCATTGGCCTCAAATTATAGTTATATAGATAGAAATATTACATTGAGATAATCGAATAGAAAAATAAAATATTTTATTCATTTGATGTAATATAAAAAATATATTTATATATTTACTTCTACACTAAGGTTACACAGTATAGGTCAAGGATTCTTAATATTTAACAACATACGATATCTGTTTGATTGTGAAAAGTAAAAAGTAAAGCGTTTTTACTACTGTGAGTAAATATCGATACAATTTAAACTTCCAATCTAATTATTGTAATAAATCCTATTACATTAGTATCTCCTTGTTTAAAATCCGTCCTTGTCATAAACGTGGCAATCGTTAATTATAATTTCTATATGTAAGACCACTTGCAAAATATTTATTTTAGAAGCACACTTCTATGTGCTATATTTAATTTCTAACAAATCACAACACCGATATATCTTATGTTATTTGATATTGGATGAAAAAAAGTTTTCCGGTAGAGATTGAATAGATTTCTTTGTTTAATTTCTGCTAATAAAAATAATCTGATACTAGCGAAGCGTTTAGATTAGTTTTAACACTGCTTTTTTAACAATCAATTGAATTTATTTTAGTGAAAAATATTTATTGTAAGTAAACATCATATAAAATGCACAACAATAACTATCGATTTATATT